GGGGGGGGGGGGGGGTGGCTGGTATATGTATGTATTTAAGTCTTAAAGTACTAGAATAGAGAAAAACCAGGATAAACTTGAAAGCGTGAAAGCAAAGTGATGAAGAAGCTAATATAATCTGCAATCTGGATATGGCCAGCTTTGTAGGATGAGTGCAGAACTTCTATGATTCGGAAAAGGATAAATGGTTCCAACTCGTGACCTGCATTAAAAGCACATAGACGAAATAATATCATGAGGATGACTGCTAGTACTCATACAAGAGAGAAAAACCAAAATGATATCTATTTGTGCTTCCTCGATTATATCTTTGACAGAACATCTTTTGTAACTATGCTTTTAGATAAGTACTAAAGAGAAACTCCATTTATTTATTAAAGTTATATCATTTTCTCCTGATACAAGAGAACGTTTATTTAAGATTTGTTTGAACCAAATCAAACCATAAGGCCTTTCATTAGACGTAGTTTAGAACCACCACGGCCTGAAAGAACATGGACCAAACTCTTATAAACTCAGGTCCAAATTTACAGTACATACTGACACACTAACGCATTGGTAACACTCATGAAAATCCAATATAAGATTACGAGGAGATCAACGAAAACCTTAAAAAAAAAGAAAATCTTCTGGTTATATGCACTAACATACTCCATAAAAAGGCTACAAATCGATGGCCATATTCTGGGGGAAGAAGATGAAACACACGATGACATAATACAATATTATCAACACTTGTGATGAGAACGTGGATTGGAGACAACAGTCGGTAGGAAATAGACGGATTAGGTTGACTGAAAAGGAATGCTTGAGCTTCCATTTGAAGATAAGAGATGGAAATAGTCGTGAAGAATTTATATTTTTGTTATTTTTAATTATGTTTAGCCGGTTCCCTGCACCCGTATCCATACTAGGATTCATATCCCTGAATCTTAGAATTTACATCTTGAAGGATCCGACCTCTAGATCCGCACCCGTGTCCAAGCAACTTAGATCAAAATATTCAAGTAGAATCACACATATTTTTTGGCCAAATACATAGACGGCTCTTCAAAGTTTGCCCTAGTTTTCATTTTGACACCTCAACTGAGACCGTCTCCTATTGCATACTTGATCTAAACTTAATTGTACCTATTAGACACAAACTATTGAGATGGCACAATGAATGTAACACACCTTTGAGAGCGTGAAAAGCCAAAAAAAATTATCTTTTTAATTTTCTTTCTTCTGCCTCTTTCCCTCTCCCGGCCACCACCTCCACCTTCCCCTTCCTCCTACTTTCTCCCGCCACCGCCAACTTGCCACCCATTAAACCTCTTTTGCTCCACCCATTTAAGTTAGTGAAAAATTCCATTTGTGCCGTTTCTCTCCACACAATAACCCATTTCTTCTTCATCTATGAATCATCTACAAAGTACCACAAAATTTCAAACACCATAGCTAACTGCCATTGAAAAATCAGGCGCAGAGCTGACATCCCATCACCAGCCACTAAAGGAGTGTCATCTTCATATTTAGATCTAAACCCAACCCAGTGAGCAACTAATTCATTCTCAGATCCTTCAATTATATCTTTTCCATATCTCAAGTTCTTCGTTTCAGCTATCGTAGGAGCCTAATTCAAAGTGGAAATTAACAAACTTGACAACAATGATAAGAAAGAAATCAACACTCCTAGATTTGACAGTGAAAAGAAATAATGTTAAGGGAGTTTATGTATGCATACTGTGCAGTGGTGGTAAGTAAGATGCCAACAATGGAGGCATGGAGTGATCCAGTTGCGCATTTTTTATTGAGAAGCAAGTTACAACTCTCTGTTTTTCGGTGTTAATGGATTTGGCTGAGCGGAATTTTTCTTTTGGAGCTTGTGGGAGATAAAAATGGAGGGGTAACTCATCAATGGTAACCAACATGCAATCGGTGCAAGGTGGCGGTAGAGGCCTCTGTAGGGAAGATAGAAGAAAAAGAAAAAAAAGGAAAAAAGAAAGAGAGAAAAAAGAATATGAAGGGCCGACAAATAGAAGGGAGGGGGAAAGGACGACAGACGGAGGGAAGGTCGGAAGGGACTATCAGATAATAATGTTCTTTTTTAGCTTAAAAGCCTTTTCTTTGTCTTTATTAAAAAAGGCTTGTCTTTCTTTGTTTTTCTTCCCTTTTGTCTCTCCGTTAAAATTTTTTTGTTGTGTTAATTTACACGTATCACCCATCAATTTGTGCATTTCCATGTCAGTGTGCTTGGAATCACGAGCTTCATTTTGAAGAGAGATTGAGACTAACTGTTCAATAGGCACAATCTGATCGAGTGTTGGATTGTCTAATAGGTACAAGGGTCAGTTGAGGTGTCAAAATGAAAATTGGCGCCAACTTTAAGGGGTTGTCTATGCATTAGCCAACACTTTAACTTCATCTCAACCAACTATCCATCCCTTCCTCTATCACCATTTCATCTGCGTGTGCTGCTTCAAGCATTCGCCTTTAATGGGCCTTTTTTTCTATTTTCTAGTTTCTAGTTCCCACCTCCATGCTCTCTTTTTTTTAATCAGGTAAAGTAATATTTCATTAATAGAAGCATCTAGAGGATGTAAAAACTGATCATAAAAGAGATAAATCTCCCTGCAGAACATACAATCAAATCCACCTAACTACTCAGGGAGCTTACAAAATCAAGAAATAAAATAGGATAATCTACATCAAAATGGTTCCACCCAGCAAAAAGATTAAGCAAACATCTAAATTTCGGGATTTGTAGGGGAGTTGTTTTTCCATCAAAACATCTCTGAGTCCTGTCCTTCCAAACACTTCAAATGATACATTGGTGGATCATTTTCCAGAACTTCTTGATAGATTCCCAACTCTTGCACGGTTCCAAATGACAAAATGTTTCTTTCAAGGTCCTTGGCATAACCCAAATTATACCAACAAGATTGTAGAACATATCCCATATATCTTTAACCACTGTAAAATGCAAAAATAGATGATCTGTACTCTCACATTCATTTTTACATAGATAACATCTATTGCACAAAGATACTCCTCTTCTCATTAAATTTTCTTGTGTCAAGCAAGCTCTTAAAGCTGCCAGCCAACTGAAACAAGCTACATTAGTAGGTACATCAATTCTCCAAATAAGTTTCCAGGGTAGTGTTTAACTAAGCAAAACAATGCAATATTTTTTGTTTAGGACATTGTAGACATGTAAAAATTTATTGAATTCAAATTCAATAAATAATTTGGATTATATTTTAAATATATTAGTCCGAATAAATATTTTGGGCTAATATAATTGGATTAATTGTATAAGTCCAAATTGGGCTAGCCCATTTAATTGGGCTAAAGTGATGAGCCCACCTCATTAAGCCCAAGATGTCATCTTCCTAGAGGCCCAGTTTGGTGCCACGT